CCCCCCCAGCCTTTGCTTCCTATTTCCCCCCCCACCCCTTACCCTCACGCTGTACCAGTGGGCTCTGTCCCTTTTTAACCCAGGGCACTGAGCACAGCTCCAGCCCAGCCCGCTAGCAACTGTACAGGGTTCAGGCTGCTGCAATGGGTTGGACTGGGGCCATGCTCAGTGCCCTAGGCTGCAGTGTATACAGTCTGCTGGCACTGGTCAAGGGGGGGTGGGGGCAGGTTGGGGAACAGAGGCAGTGGGGTTGGGAGATGGAGGGTTATAGACGTGGTGGGTGAGGGGAGCAGGTAGCAGTTGCAGCTACAGCCCCAACTCCAGATAGGGGCTGGAGCCCAAGCCATAGCAACCACCTGCTGGCCCACCACCCTTTTAATCAATTCTAAGACACAGGGCCTGCCCTGTTAAATGGGAGAAAAACTTTGTCTTAGAAGTGAGTAAATACAGTATTTGAGAAATGTGGATATAATGTCACAGGCTGGATGGCCAAAGACAATTTAAATCATTAAATGCTGGAATTTTGTATAAGAATCACTATATGTTCTGGGGGGACTCTGTGGGAAAGTGTTTCTGGTAATTTGATAGGTGCCCCAGAGGGAAAGAACACTTAACCTGTTGTTTAGCAATATTGTACCTTGTGGGAAGAAGGATAAGAAAAGAACAAGACGTTTTTGTGATTTCTAGAAAACTGGAAGCTGAGAATGAAATATACACAAAAGAAAAAGAAAAGTTGATTGCCACAAGCCAAGAAATTCAGGAGACAAACGATCACTTAAAGAAACAACATGGAAATGAAATAAAGAGGCAGGAGGCATCTCGCCTTGCTGTGGAAAACATGGTGAGGAAGCAAAGTTCTCTTCAGAATCCATGGCAGAGGGGCAGTGGGAAAAGAAATCCAAGATTCTGGGATATGAACTAAACGCTTCCCTGCACTGCACAAATGTGCAAAGGGACAAGAGAATGGGCAAGGGTTGCTCCAGGCCTATATTGGGCCAGGCACATGTTCCCTCTTTGTGTTGTGTCTGTGTAGAAAAAATGAGGAGCTCTAAAGCCAGCAGCAGCATTAGACATCTGAGTGGGGAAAGGGACAAGGCCACGACCCTATTCCTGCTGCAGCAGATCCAGGCCATTTAGGACAGGCAAACATGCTACTGTTGTGTGAGTTTTCCATGCAGTCCCTCTGTTCTGTTTGATTAATGTGCATTGCCTCTATGGGCTATCATTGGATACTAGTGTTCCTACCCTCCCCCACCCCCAGTGCACAGGTACAAAATTACATGCAGAAGTGGAAGGCATTGTTTAAAGAACTACAGGTAGTTACAGATTCATTGACTAGTTTTGTTTGATTTTGTAGGAGCTTGAAGAAAAGCTAGACATGAAAGACAGGATGATAAAGAAACTGGAGGATCAGATCAAGACTCTTACCAAAACTATTGAAAAGGGTAGGACTTACTTCATACAGTTTTAAATAATTTTGAATGGATGGCATAGTGTAAGAATGAGAATGTGTGTTGGTCACAGTGTTTTGAAATTCAAAATGTCATAATTTATTCCATTTTGAGACCATTCTTGACTAATATTAAGATATGTAACTAGCTGTCTTTGTATTGCAAGTAGTGAAGTCAGTAAGATTTTTTTTTTCTGTGAGGAAGTGTTTGCCAATAATAATTGGACCCATAAGCTGAAGGTATTTTTGCAAATGGGAACTACGCTGTTTTTGTTATAGTAAGAAATGCAGATCTCTAATAATTTGTTGTAACATTTACCTGCAAGTAACAGTATTTTTGTGTTTGACAGCCAATGAACTGCATGTGCCAGCAGCACCTAAAGAATACATTGGAATGATGGAATACAAAAAGGAAGATGAAGGAAGAATTGTTCAAAATCTAATTCTTGGTATTTCAGTAGTGTTTTGATTATATTTAGTTATAGAGCGTTAAATAAATTCCAACTTTTTGTGTGTTAGTTATCTGATTAATAACTCTGATCTTACCTCCCTTCTCTCTCAACTCTAACAGTACTCCTAGGGGCTTCATACTTCTATTAATGGTTGATTCATGTTTCAAGGGCAGAAGTGCTTTATTGGAGTTTCAGTCTGACTCCACTATCTTTCTTCATCTTTGTTCATTTCTGAAACTAGAAATCTCAGAAGTAATCCGGGACCCTGAATTTCTTTTGATTCCAGGTCTACTTTGTAAGTTATCAATCTCATATCTAGTCCTCACCCCCTGGCTTATCTTTTCTCATCCATCCGTGGTGTGGCTATAACATCTAGTTGTGATCTGTATTGTGTGGGCTTGACCCATTGTTGTCCCACAGCATCGACCCATTTCAGTCAATGGGTATGACCCATTTCCTTCCCTAATTTTCTCTACTCTAAGGGTTGCACTTTCACTTATGTCTTCCTTCGTGACCTTTTTCCTTCCTCCTGAATAATTTCCAACCTTTAAATCTTACCGTAAAATATATATCCTTGCTTTAAGCTATTTATTTCCCATGTTCTTCACTGCTCCCACTAACAAATATGCAAGAATGTTTGATATCTCTATTGCCTGGAAATATCTTTTGTCTTTTCTCACCTATTGAATTGCTATTAGTATCCACTTACAAGAGACATTGTACTCTATAAACTATCACAGAATTTCCTCTGTGGCTCTGCAAAGTTTATATTACTTATAGATGAAATACAGTAAATGGGATGGGATGGTATCATAACCAATTCATAAATTGGTTAATGAGTGTGATTTCATACTGTATTTAATTAATTTAAGCCATTTGCCTTTTGAATAATAACTAGATGGGATCTCTGTGTTTTCTTATAAATTGTGACTGCCGAACGACTCTGTTTTACGCAGATCTAAAGCCACGTGGTGTGGTAGTAAATATGATACCAGGTCTTCCAGCTCACATCCTATTTATGTGTGTGAGATATGCAGACTATCTCAATGATGCTGATATGCTGAAATCTTTCATGAACATAACCATTAATGGGATCAAGCAAGTTATTAAGGTAAAAATATTTCTTGTGCACTTTGCTGTTTTGTAGGTTTCATTGTTAATGCATCTAAAAAGTTTAGAATGTGCACACTTCACACCTGGAAAAACACTTGAGTGTTCATCTATTAGGAAGATTATTGTTGGTCATATTTTAACAATAGTAGCAGTGCAGTAGTGCCACGTGCTTCTTGTGCTGCTCTGAGCTCAGTACACACATGATGATTGTTTGTCCTTATCCCAGATGGTTGATGAGGTTGAGCCATAATTTTTTTGAATACAGTATAACCTCATAAATCTGGCACTCAAAATTCTGGAATTCTCAAAAATCCGGCACTGCAGGCAGGTGGCATCATCGGTTCCTGGGGCTGCAGCAGGGAGCAAAGTGGAGGGAACTGTAAGTGGGTGTGGAGTGCAGGGCAGGGGGCGCAGCTCCTGCTGCTATGTGCACTGCAGGAGGTCTGTGGGGTTGTGCTGGGCTCTTCCTGGAGGGCGTCTGACCCCAGATCTGCACACCAAAGAGCAGGCTGCCAGTGTAGGATGGGGCCAGTTGCAGCACCAAGGCTCTTTCCAGTGCTTGGGGCAGATGGCAGCCTGCTCTCATCTGGCACGCAGACCCAGGGGTACGCACCCTCCCAGGAAGAGCCCGCAGCCCTTCTGGGGTGCACGTAACAGCAAGAGCCACACCCCTGCGCCCTGCACCCACTTACAGTTCTTTCCGCTTTGCTCCCTGCTGCAGCTCCAGGAGCCAAGGATGCCACATGCCTGCTGTGCCGCACCCCTCCCCCAGCCCCTTTCCTAGCCCCAGCCTCACTCATTCAAAAATCTGAAATTTTCAAATTTCCGGCAGGTGCTAGATCCCCAGCATGCTGGATTTATGAAGTTATACTTTACTGGATATCTAAGAAACCAGTTGCTAAATATGTTAAGGTTGCCCATGTTTTCAGCCATAGTAAAAATTGCTGAAAGGAGCAAAAATTGTTTAACGTGTGTGTTTGATTCTGGATTTTTTTGTGTGGAATATTAGGTGGTATTTGCATTATGTTTGAAGAGTGTACTAGCATTTTAAAATGGTTCTTGTTTACAAAGTACTGCTGTAATGCATTTAAATACTAGAAGATCAGTAAACTGATGAACCATGCTATAAGCCAGGATCAACAGTCTGTTGATTCATATGTACTATAAAGTCAGCCATGTCATTCTTTCAATATTATATTGTGAATTTGTGATTCAATAAAGCAAAATCCTGGTTCTTTTTCCAACAGAGGTGTGAACGAACCACAATTTATGCAGCCAGGTTTGCAGTGTGGATGTGTTCTCAACTTATTTACAAACCAGTTTGTTACTGTTCATGCCACTGTATTGATTACATCCCAAGAAAAGCTTGTAATTAACTTGCTAACAAAAACCATGTTTACATACAGCTATGACTTGTGTAAGCTCTGCTTCTGAATTGCAGATGGGCCCCTTTAAATAGTTTACTTTCAGTTGTCTTTATATACAGTTTTTTGTAGTGAAGCCCCCCCATTCCTGCAGTACTGTTTTTAAGCCTCTTTTAAACATGTCTTATCCACATTGTCTAGCCATGCCATGGTACTATTACATTTAAATAATTGTAAGGATGTTGTGATGTGGAAATGAGAAGATTTGTATTGAGTACTTCAGAGACTCTGTCAAGTTCCTTTACTCTAGCATGAGGCTATTGTACTAAACCTCTTTTGATTTTACGGATTATATTTGTTTAAAAGATTTTGCTTATCATTGTTTAGGAACATATTGAAGATTTTGAAATGGTGTCTTTTTGGCTGTCCAATACATACTATTTTCTTAACAGTCTGAAACAGTATAGTGGGGAAGAGGTAAGAATTGTTTCATTACTTTCTGTTTTATATAATTTCATTTAACTTCCTAACCAAATTGGACAGGAGTCATCAGCCAGGCTGTTTCACTGAAATATCTGAAACTCATTTATCTGAAAATCAAATTCTTTAATAGTTGTGATGTTAGCTTACATGTGTAATAAAATGGAATTGAACTAATATTCCAAAAGAGCCTAAGATGTTAAAACGATAACAGATTATTAAAGCAAAAGAAAGAAACTTACCTTGGGAGTGCTGCTTAGCTTGATCTTCAGTTTAATATAAATTGGTTCTCAGAAGAGCAGTTATTTGTATCAAAAATAATTGTCACCCTTTCTTTCACTCAATTGTAACTGCTTCAGGCATATATTATTAACCATTTGATAACTGAGGAAGATTAAAATTTAGAATGAAATCAAGAAAACTCCAGGAAAGAGCAATAAAGTATTCAGTTTTACTTTGGTTCAGTGTGAAAACCAGATAAAGATTTTTTTTTTTCAGCCGTTTCATTTTGAGTTCTGTGGTTAGCAGAGGAGCAGGCAAAATGTAGGCCTGATCCAGCCCACCAGGCCATTTTATCCGGCTCATGGGGCCCCTCCAAAAAACAATTATTACCGGCCCAAGGCTGCCCGCTGAAAACCAGCTGAAGGAGGAGGCTTTTAGAGGTTGTGCACCATTGGATCAAGTGGTCTCTGTGGGGCATCCGGCACTCCATCTGGGAACCCCATGTAGAGGCACCAAGCACTATGGTGCATGACTAGACAGCTGGTGAGTGGGGAGGGGAGCTCCTGCCTGCAGGAGGGGTGGGTGGGGGTGGGACTTGTGTGTGGGTGTGGACCCTGCTGCCATGGTGCACAGTCCCCGCCAGCAGTGGCAGGCCCTTGGGGCACTCCTGGTCTACTGCAGGCAGAGCCCCCTGGTCGCATGTGGCTCCAACTGAATCCTGGGAACTGCATATGGCAGCATGGGAGCCCGCCCACCCTGGCCCACTGGCGTGCACCTTCGAGCCAAACCAGACTGGCCCCCTGCCAGCATATGGGGCTTCTGGCACAGCAGCTGGGAGCTGTGCGCCATCAGGCTGGGCCATCTCCATGTCTCCACATGAGGCTTCCAGCACCCCAGTGGGAAGCCGCACATGGAGGTATGGAGCCAACCTGGCCCTATGGCTTACAACTCCCCATGACTCCTGGTCTGTGCACCATCAGGCTGGGCAGCTCCATGCCTCCACATGCAGCTCCCTGCTGGAGTGCTGGAAACTCCAAATGGAGGCACGACGCCAACCCAGCCGAATGGCAAGTGGCTCCCGCCTGTAGTGCTGGGAGCCCCATGTGCAGGCACCGAGCCAGCCCGGTCTGGCTTGAAGTGTACCAGCAGGCCAATCCAGGGTGGCTCTGTGCCACTATGTGCAGCTCCTAGGATTCAGCTGGAAGCATGTGTCACCAGGGGGCTCTGCTTGCTGCAGGCCAGGAACACCTCAAGGGCCTGCTGCCAGCTGCTGCTGCTGCCAGCAGCAGGGGCTGTGCACCATGCCAGGTGGGGAGGTGGGGGAGCGTGGTGCTGGAGCCCACACACACCCCATACCCACCCTTGCACATTCCCAGAACCCCCCCCACCACAAATGCCACACCTCCCATAGACCCCCTCACAAGACCCACACCCCTTCACAAACCACACACATACATACTCCCACACAATATACAAGAGTAAGATTTTATTTTGAACTATGATGCAATCACCTCTAGATACACTATGCAAATAGACGTAAATCAGGACAAAACTAGTTTTTTAAATAAAATTACAGTATGTTATAGTAGACGTTCGATTTTTAGTATACGAGTTGGTTTTTTTTCTGGTTCCAAGGTGGCAACCCCCCCTTCCAAATGGAGTACTTCTGGGGAAGGGGAGGGATGCGATTTCTGGTGGCAAAGGTCAGGGGTTAGGGGTGGGATTTCTGGTCCCAGGATGGCAGTCGGGGGCGGGGCATCTGTCAAGAGGTGGAGTTACCCTTGTGGCCTTATACAGCTCACCAAAAGTCATTAAGTGGTTCTCCAGACAAAATAATTGCCCACTCCTGGGTTAGCGTGAACCCCAAATTCTAAGCATATTTGATATAAACCCACATGGATGCTATCTAAAGGCAGTATTCACCTGAACCACTGCAAATTAAAAACAGTGATTTTTAGAACACAGTTGATGCTGAGGTACCTATGCATGTGCAGTGAGGCTGCTCTAACGTGCTGTAGTTACAGGACTTAGGAGCAGACTCTGCTGGAGCATGGTAATTACTGCGCTTCAGCATCATATGTATCAGTGTCCCCATGCTGACAAATGGCGGCTAGGGCGCTTTAACTAAAGCTTGTTCAATGAGCTTTAAAGCATCTCCATTGCCATTTTTTCAAGACAGGGACATTGATACACGTAACACTCCAGGCACTTCAGTTAAAGTGACTCTCAGAGCTGCTCTTGTTAAAGTGCCACTCTCCCCTTCCCCCTTCATGCTTACACACACCCCCCCAGACAACCTATATCAACATCCCTGGACTCCCTCTTGTGGCCATTTTGTTCACTAAGATTTTGAAGCAGTAGGAAAGAGGCAGTGTCAACTGAAATCAGTGCAGTGGGATTTTTTTTCCACAATTCCACTGCATACCTGGAGGTAGGTTTGATCCTAGACAGTAGTTCCAGGCCTGGGTGCAAGTTTGCTCCTTTAAAGTAGCTCTGTAATGAACTAAGTATTCTTTGGGGGAGAGGTATTTTAATCCAGAGTTCTGAAGTGGAAGCTCACTTTATACAAAATACAAGACCCAGAACATTTTACAGTCATGAATAGATGCCTTTTAACTTCTCTGAAGCAAGGAAAAATGAATTTCATGCATTTCATGTGAATCTAGAGCTTGATCCAAATCCTTTAAAATCTATGCCGGTCTTTCTTTTGGCTTCAGCAGGCATTGGAGCGTACCAAGTGAGCAGTACTAGAAATATATGTGTATAAAGTTCAGGACTAGTAGTAACTGCTAATTAGTTTTGACTTATTTGTATCTTTTTGCATACAGAATTTGCTTATCTAGTTCACATAAAGCACTTTAAAATGTATTGGTACTGTTGATTTTTAGTATTTATCAGTTTAAAATGTGCTTTCAGGAGTTCATGAAGCACAACACTCCCCGTCAGAATAAGAACTGTTTGAAGCATTTTGATCTTTCAGAGTACAGACAGATACTTAGTGACTTGGCCATTCATATCTATCACCAGTTCATCATTGTAATGGAGAACAACATTCAGCCAATGATAGGTAAGAGGGAAGAAAAAAATTCAGTGAAAATAAATCCACTAATAGCTTCTTAGGTATTTGAATAAATCTTGGATGTGGACACAGGGACAGGCAAAAGTGCTATCACCTACATGCACAAATGCTATTTATAATACAGGTGTGTACACGTTCCATGTGCATGTGTATATACATTTGTATTTATATATACATATGTATATTTTTTACACACAGTTTTATTGACTGGAATATCACCAGAAGTTTTGAATATGCATTATCCCTCATAGCAGTTTTTCCCAGCGTGGAGCAGGTCCCTGGAATGCAGAAAGTTACTGGGAGTGGAATCAAAGATGTAGAAATTAAACACGTTAAAAATGCGTGAGAGGGTTGAAGAAGGCTTGGTTTGTATCATTTTCCTACAGGTGGGGACTCCTTAAGGAACACCTGCCTTCCAAGTCTCCCCTTCTACATTTGTCGTGCAGTTCTCTACCCTAACTCCATTCTAACTGGCCATACAGGCGACCAGTTATGAAGCAGCAGTGCATTCCATTTCTGTATTGCTGTTTTCAATGTAGGTTTCAGATTTTCTTCTTGAGGACTGCTGCAATTCTGTTGTTATACAGTGGCTGTGTTTTCTTATCCTTCTGTAATTATTTGTGATACCACAAAAGCCTTTTTAATTTAAGATTGTTGTAATGCAGACTTTTACCTCTCACCAAAATGTTAACAACAGATAGCAAGAAATGGCTTCTGGAAGCTACAGGAGCTTGTACACATGATGAAATTGCCCTTTTAAGCAGTTTTATTGCCCCTTTTCACCGTCTTAATGACTTCACCGTTTACACCGGTGGTGGTATATTACGTTTTAATTTCATCATGCTGTACATGTGCAGCAGCATATTTCACGTTAAATGACTTTGGATGTAGCAAAATAAAATGTATCCGATGTATTTTAGTTTGCTACATAACAAATTGCAGCGATACATCCAGAGAAGGTGGTGGGGATGCTGCATGGGGCAGATAACGTTGCCTTCCATCCATTTTGGAATACCACACTGAGATAACAGGGCCTTGAGATTTATCCTGAAAACATGCATGCCCATAATTTTCATACACATGCTCTTTCTCCATCATTACTAGAGTACCAACAAGCTATGATTTAAAACTGTTGAACTATAGATCCTTAATATATCTAGTATTCCCAAACCCAGTTTACCACAATTAGGAGAACCCTTAATTTTTTTTGGTTTTCCTATTGTCTTTTCAGTGCCAGGCATGCTTGAATATGAAAGTCTTCAGGGAATTTCTGGCTTAAAACCAACAGGATTCCGTAAACGTTCTTCTAGTATAGATGACACAGATGCCTACACAATGACTTCTATCCTGCAACAACTCAGCTATTTTTATAGCACAATGTGCCAGAATGGCTTGGACTCTGAGCTTCTAAAGCAGGCAGTGAAACAGCTTTTCTTTCTCATTGGAGCTGTCACCCTCAATAGTCTCTTCCTCCGCAAGGACATGTGCTCTTGTAGGAAAGGAATGCAGATAAGGTAAAGCCAATAAAGTTTCAGCAAGTGCTCACTTGAGAGAGAGGACTGTTTACTACACTGTAGTGCTGTTCATTGTGTTGTTTGATGCCCTGTAAATATTCTAGTGGGAGGTGACAACCAGTTCTGACTCTCTAGTTGGACAAGGACTGTCCTATCTCTGAATTTTCTCATCTCAAAATACTCCATATTATGGTGCTTATGACCATTTAAATTTATGCTTTACGTGAAGTACAAAATAAATGTCATTCATAGCAGAGTGAAAGGCCACATGCTCAAATCTGGAGACTTTGTTGTCTTTCCCCCTGGGATATGTCTAGAGATTTTATTATACTAGTTTGTGCATAGAAATGTATCATAGTGGATGTTATTGCATAAAGCAGAAACCATATTCCCCAACTAGCAAACGGAGAGAAGCAGAATTCCTTTACTTACTGATGACACAGGCATCAGGACAAAGCCATTGAGGATTTGTCCCAAGCCTCCACAGTTCCTTGTTAACACGTGCATTGAAGAGAATATAGATCTTACTTTCTGCAAAAGAGAAACAGTTCATTTGCAAGCCATTAAACGAGTGGTTCTCATCCTTTTTAGGCTCAAGGCACCACTTGGAAAATGCCAGCTCTTACTTTTCACTCATTTTTCTGTAGTAAAAAAAAAAGTGTAATTCTCTGTTGCAGAAAAACTCAGAAAAACAAAAACTTGGTCAGAATGTTTTTAATACTGTAAATTCTACTTAAAATCTCTGGGTTTATCTTGTGGAGCTCATTTGCATATGTAACAGTGCTAACATTGCTTGGCACTCTGGCCCCCTTGAAAGGATCTCAAGGCACCCCAAGGTGCTACAATACTCTAGTTTAGAATCCCTGTACTAGATAGTTTGGAGGCTGAACAAAAGAAAATCAGTAGTGAGAGGGTTTTTCTGGATGACTCAGGAAAGTGGCAAAGATGGAGATGTTTACCCTAGATCAGGGGTTTCAAGTTTTTTTGTTCAGTGTGCCCCCAGCAGCTGGTCAAAAAGGCAGAAGTCCCCCAGCAGCCAGACTAGCGGGGGGGATCCCACCACGTGACCATTCAAGGGGGGATGGGGTTCTCCCAGCAGCCAGTCAACAGGGGGAGGGTCCCCTACTGCAGAGTACCCCTGGAGGCCATCACAAATGCCCCCAGGGGTACGCATACCCCCGGTTGAAAACCCCTGCTCTAGATCATCACTCAAAAGAATTTGACCCAAACGGTGCAATGGTCATCAGCTCTTTGCTGTCAAAAGAACTGCAAGAGTTAAATTTGAAAGGAATTTGGAGTACTGTTGCAACCTCCCGATAGGATACAAAGCTATACATAGCCCTGAAACTGGGGAGTCATCTTTTCTAGTGCAGTCTATATGAAATGCAGAAAATAAACAGGATAAAATGGTGCAAATTTAAACTAGATTTTAAAAATCTAGTTTAAATTTCTTTAATAATCTTAGATGTCTATATATAATTCTTTACCTAATGTGTATGAATTTTAACCAGACAGTCGTGTGTTCCTTTATCCTCCAGTGTTTCTTTATCGTCATTCATTACTGGGTTAGTTTAGCCTGACTACTTTGTGAGGGGAAGCAGACAATTCTATGCTTATTTATGCCCTAACTCCAGATGCAATATCAGCTACTTAGAAGAATGGCTTAAAGAAAAGAATTTGCAGAACAGCACTGCTAAGGAAACCCTGGAGCCTCTCTCTCAGGCAGCCTGGCTCCTTCAGGTCAACAAGATCACAGATGATGATGCCAAGGAAATATGTGAATGCTGTACATCCCTGTCCACTGTGCAGGTGATGAACTGTGTCATTTTCTACTGTCATTCTCTGTTTTTTGACAGAGCTTTCTGCCTCCCACTTTATGTATACAACATCCCCAACTGCTCCAGCCCACTATATCCAACTCTAGGCTGTGACTCGATTTCTTTGTTTGCATGTTCAGCTTCTGTTCTGTTCTGTCATGGCTGCCTGTCCACCTTGTTCCATTTCTAGGTTTGCTCTCAGTTCTGTCTTCTTCTCTGTTCTCTGGGATCCTTTCCTTTCCTTTGGAGATAAGCTTTAGCAGGTATCATGCTCACAACATTCACTACTTTCCTGGGGGAATAAAATCTGCCTCTTTTTTTTTAAAGATGCTTACTGTGCCTTCAGCCAGTTAAATACCAATGAAGACATAATGTTCATGCCTTTTCACTTGAATCTATTACTCTTTTGTGTCATGGATTGCAAACATTAAGCAAGTCTATCTTAATTTATACAGATAGTAAAGATCCTCAATTCATACACTCCTATAGATGACTTTGAGAAAAGAGTGGCCCCATCATTTGTTCGTAAAGTCCAGGTAAGATCCATAAATTGTTTCCACATATGCATTCAAGTTAGTGGATTTTCCACACACTCTTTATTTTGCTAAGTGTTCATACTAGACTTTCCTATCAAAGCATGATAACAGTTACTGCTCTCCTGTGTAAGGGACAAGAAAAGAATTATATGAAAATAAATAATTTAGAATTACAGTAACAAAATTGTCTTCTATTATTTGTTTCTGAAACAGACCTTTTCCCTGACCCTCTGTGTTCTGATTTCAGGCCATGCTAAATAATCGAGAAGATATGCCACAGTTGATGCTAGACACCAAATATCTCTTTCAAGTGACGTTTCCCTTTACCCCCTCTCCATATGCACTGGAAACTATACAAATCCCCAGTAGTTTCAAACTTGGCTTCCTAACAAGAGTGTAATAAAAAAAAAAAAAAAAAAAGAAGGATTTACCAATTGTCCATCAAAGACCAAATGAAGAGCAAACTTTTGTTACTCAATCCTGCGACTGGAGCTTATAGACAGAGTACTCTTTTTAAACAGCTGTGAAATCAGGACACCAATTGTAAGAGTAACTTGTGTTCCAGCCTATAACTTCTGTTGTCCTTTACCCAATATTGTTCCTTTTGTGTTGCATTTCTGCAAAGGATGAGAGCTGGATACTAAAGTGGCCCTATGGTTTTGGAGCCAGAATGTCACTAAGACAGTAACAGAAATCTATATTGGTGCTTCAGGATCAATGACAGACTGCCAGTCAGGTAGAAAATGGGGCAACAACTGTTACAGTATAACTTTTATGGTGCCATCTCCTCTCACAAGTGACCTGTTTCATAGGAGTTCTTCTCTTTCCTTTCATCTGGTGGATTTATTTTACAGCAGTCTTCACCCAGCATTGTTTCCTGTGGCATCATCCCTTCCATTAAAATAGTCTTCTTCAATAATAGCAAGTAAATAATGTTTTGTGCCCTCAGGAGAATGTAGTAGTAGCAAATAAAATGTTTTCCTACAACAGTTTAAACAAAAATCGATACAAATTGCTCTTCTGAACTTGGGAAAAGTTCTGGTATAAATGTAAGGAAGCTCTTCAGCAAACTAAGGTTCTCCTTTTCACTGACAGGCTGCTTTGTCTCTCAGAAATGTCTGTATTATGGTTTTATAAACAGGCACATATCAGAGAGCTGTTCCAAGGACAGGTGGGACTAGGGCACTTAGTTTTCCAGAAGGTTTCAATTCCACTTAATACAATTCCAGGGAGTTCAACTCTAGGGTTCTGTTTTGGCCCATTCTGGATTCTCACAAGGGAATGATGTTGTTTTAGGTCTGACTTAAGGCCTGTTGTATCTGGAGCAATGGTAGTAGTCTGAAAGTGAGTTAGGAAACATAACTGAAATAGAGTTTTTAATAAGAAATTACCAGCACCGTATATCATGGAAATTCCGAGTTTCTGCAGACCATCCTGCTTGTTTCCCCTTTAACATTCTCATGTGCAGCCAGTCAGGAGAACCCTAGCATATCTCACTTGGACATTTTGGCCCTTTGGGAGGTGCTCATTTGCCACAGTGGTGGGTGTCAGAAAAGAACCAAGAGAAATCGGAAAGGGTCCCCTTCTGCAACCACTCTGTATGAGCTCTGTTTGTCACAAGGCTGAGTCAGCAGGCAGTAGGCAATGTTTGCAGGACTGTGCTCTAAACATGTATAAGCTTCTGGTATGACCATCCTTGGTGACTACTTTTTTTTTTTAATTTTTAAAGAGGGTGATATAGTTGGGGAAGGCCCTGCTTTGAGCAGGAGTTTGAATTAGATGACCTCCTGAGGTCCCTTCCAACCCTAATTGTCTGATTCTGTAGTGCCACAGAATGGAAATAGGAAACGGAGCAGGAAAGGAGATAGTAAGGGAGGATGAGAAATAGACCCATTCCCAAATACAGTCAGGAATTAGGAATAGGCAGGGGGGCCTACATGGTGACAATATCAACAGCTGCACTACCAATCTCTAGTCCAGCTTCCCCTGTATGTGCAGACTACTTGGTGAGTAAATCCAGCTCCTGTGGTGAACCCTATTACCAGATGCAGCCTGGTTTCTCTGTATGTGTTCTTATTTTTTTCATTTGATGTATACACTACTTGGAAGCAGGAACAATGCCACCTCTTTGGTCTGTGCAGTAGGACACCCACACACAGCATACAGCAGATAACTTTTTATTGATTTGCTATGGTGCCCTGTGAGAATAATTGAAGTAACAACACCCTAGAAAAAACCCAGGTTGATCCTGATGATGATTTACTAATCAGGTGTTAGAACTTAAGTATTTAAATGTAATATTAGTAAGGTACAGAATTCCTGTGTGCAAGGACAGATTTCAGTTGCTGCAATATATTTAAGAGGTTTTAACTTAATTCAGTTAATTTAAACATTAGTCATATGAAGGAATGACAAAGCAATGTTTGCAATATTTTGCTATAGTATTTCTTTAATTTCACGTAACAGCATTTGTGAATTTAAAGATGGAACCACCTTTGGTATTTACTAGCATGCAGATGTATGAAAAGTACATAGAGCAAGAATTTTTATTGCTTATATAGTACTCAAGAGTGTCACAGGCATATAAGTAAGCTTATGCTTTCCATAGGTTAAATAGCTTTATTGTAACATCTAAGTAATACCAGAGTTGTTTTACTTTTTCATACTCAAACTTTTGAAAAAAACTAATTTAAACTCTGAAAGGTTTGGTGAATACTTTTGATTAGGGGTTAAACTATTGTATCTCCTTCTACATACTACCCCACTCGCGGGGACTGCCAAGTAGTGTGTCTGAATTTCTGAAATGTGTGCTGTCTTCGGCTGCTTCTGCATTTCCATAATAAATACTGGTATGAAAACAAGTCTGGGTGTTGTAATCTGTATTTATGATATGGCTATATTGACGCTGGGGCACAGAAGGCATCTGGGTCCATTACAAGGCCTGGTGCTTCAGTGAGACTGGGAGTTAGTAGCCTGTTGCTTAAGAAATGCTGAGGTTGGGGTTCTGTCTGTTTAGCCAGGACAGGTTTTTTCCCCCATGACCGCTTTGAGATGAACGTCCTTTTCCAGGAGGGATTGGCAGTCATTAATCATGTGTCTAGGGTGTTCAAGCCAGGGAGCTCTGTCAGAGATTCCCAGTCCACGGCCTGGTATGGGGCCGCAAAGGGCAGGTTGCTGGTCCGCAGGAGGGTTGGTATGCCATAAGTGACCGGCATACTGCCCAGTGGCAGCCAACGCTTTTTTTTTATACTGAGTATACCGCTCTGCAGTATGCCGGTCACTTATGGACTGGCAGCCAACCCTTTGTGGCCAAATGAAATGAATGAAAAAAAAAATCAAATAAAAAAAATAACACATATCAAGCTTATCTTAGTTACTGAGTATAAAAAAGGGTTGACTGCCACTCCACAATATGCTGGTCACTTCTGGACTGCAGTTTGCCAGTCCTCAGTTTGCTGGTCTGTGGTCACTTCCGGTCCACAGTTTGCTGATCCGTGATCTAAAAAGGTTGGGAACCCCTGCTCTAGGTGATGACCAGAGAGACTCCATTGTCCTTGTCCTCGGGTTGGAATTATAGCAGGTCAGAATGAGGTTTAAGTCTGGCTTTGTTTTTAGTGTCTACAGTTTTGGGGTTGTATTTATAATTGTAGGAATCGCTGCTCCAGATCCCTAAGGTGGGCATCCCAGTTGGTGGAATCAAAGCAGATATTGCTTCTCCCAGCACTGCCCAACACCTTGCTCTCCCCTCTTCTTCTCTGCCCCTCCCTTCTGCTTTTGTATTTACATTTCTGTCATCTTATACACAGCTTTGTGCACATCCTTTCACAGCGTCTGATCAGGTGAGCATGAGCTCACAAAAGCTAGTGCTATACATGTATGTGTGTGTGTGCACGTGTGCGTACATTTCCTTTGGTTAATCTATAAGGTGCAAATCTACCCTGCCTTCTATTAGACTTTTTTGACAGTTACCAAGGGTATCTCAAGCTGCCTGTTACCAATCACCTTCTCCTTGGAGTCCATATCTTATGTCCATATCACAGAACTACTTCTGATGGCACATGTATCTGCTTCCAAAAAACAGTTCATCATTATACAGGGCATTTTGGTGTTTAACTATTCCATAGAGTTAGGCGTGAAAGAATGCTACTAATATGCTCAAGAAGAAGAAAAGATAGATAATTTTCACAGGAAGGATCTCTATCACCAAGAATGGGACAGAAGTTTGAAGTAACAGCTTCAGGCTGGATAATATTATGCACGTTTATGGAGTGATCCTACCCCTGTTAAATGTAATAGCAACACTGCAATTGGTGGGGTAGGGTATGCAGGTACACAGCTACACCTTGTCATCTGGAATTCCTCTTTCATCACGCCCTATTTAAGCCACTAGCCTTTGGAATAAGCAGTTCAACTGGAGTCTTTGGGTCAGATGTAAGACGAAAGAATGACAGATCTGGACTGATTTGCAGTGTTCCGTGTTTCCTTAAGTTCTCATTAGAAATGTCTGTATTTACAGGGAATAGTTCATGCATGTTTTGGGAAATTACTGGCATTTTGCAAATTCTGAGCATGTGAACCCATTCTTTCATATGAATTTTCCTGTGGAAACTGTTCATTCAGATACCTGGCCTGTATGCACGTTTTTTCAGACCACTTTGAAAATCCAGCTTTTTGGCCTCATTCTCAAAGGCTTTGAGCACCAGCAGCTCCTTACATTGTCAGGGGGAAATGTAGCTGCTTGGCATTTTTGAAAGTCAAGTCATTAGTATTGTGGCTCTTGATTTGAATTTTTCAAGTGCCCATGGATGAGATCAGTCAAGTGTATGCTTGGTGTTACCTTCCACTCCTTTGCCTTCAAGATGACATTCTGAAGGTGAAGTGCTACATGAGCAGAGGCAGGAGATGCATACGAGAGAGGAAGATAAATAGTGAGGGTACGGAGGATGAAGGTGCAATGCAAGAGACCATATCAGTAATGTGGGTAGGTGCTAGGTGAACCTTCAACAAGAAGCTTGAACTTTATTTGCATTGTAGCAGGAAAGCAGTAAAATGGTTTCTAAAAGGAGAGATATGACCCAAGTAACATGTAAGAGGGATGATTCTGGCAGCATCATTTTGAATAATATCTTTCCAAAAATGACTGTGTTATGAATTACCTCCAACTCAGTCACCGGCTATTCTTGTGTTGTCAGGTCCTGTTCCCCCCCACTTTACCTCCAGTCATATTGACTGTTCTGAAAAAAACACCCAATGACCCCTAATGACATAACTTCTTTGATTTCACATCTGCAAAGAATGTGGCCTTCTGAATTGTTTTCATCATTCAGGCATGAATGCAACTTTCAACCAAGCTTTTAAAAAAACCCAAGGCAGCAGCAAATGTTAATCTTGTTGATTTTCA